CATTATGGAAGAAATCAGGCAACAGAGGCATGTGCTATGATAAACAGATGTGGAGAACTCTGAAGACATGATATTTGGCCTGCATTACAGTTATACCTAAATCATATACCTTTTGGATGTGGCTAACCTGTCCTTCTCTGAATAGCACTAAGTAAAATCCCACCCACTGTAATATATAATTCCTATACTTAATCTCTCATTATCCCAATACTTGTAGCATAGATGGCAACAGGCACTTTCTCAATATAAAAGTAGCTTGCCTAAACCACATCTAATCATACACATGCACATATGCAATATATGTGTAGCAGTAGCTATTTTTGCACAGTAATAATTAAAGATGACGCTCATTTTATCTGATAACATTAAAATTTTCCCTCTGAGATGCCAACATCTAGATTTTTCAAAATAAATTAACCAGTACTAAATCTAGTGTTTTTAATTATTAACAAGAATTCTTTTTTAAAAATCAAAAGAAAACTGCTCATAAGACAAAAAGTAAATATTGAACTCTAAATAGTGACAAGGCAATTGCTATCTATATTATTAATCTATGACATAAAATGGTTAACACAAAAAGATATGCTGTTTTTCTCTATAAGACTTCATATGCTTCTCAGAATTATTTTGTGACCTTGCTAAATTATAATCCTGAATAATCTTCCTCGCCCCACCCCACCCCCTACCCTCATCAAATCACTCTATTCCATTGCTAATATTAGCACACTAAGTCACCATTACTACAAAGAGGGTCATAATAAACTGATATTTTGGGACAAAGAAAAATTGCCTATTTTCTCAACAAGAGAATTTAGATATATAACTCTTAATATTTTTTTCTATTTCAAGTAAACAAGATCACTTTAATAACTGATGACAAACATTCCCACCACTCAAAGATTGTTCATACATAAAACACTGATCATTTTCTTTTGTTTATCCAAAACTTGTGGCTATTTGATATTGCCAAAGATTTGACAATTGATTACCTCCTCTCTTACCCACTGATAGTGGAAACTATCTAAAATGTCTAAAAGGCAAGAAATGAAGCAGGCAGAATATTATACCACAGTATAGGGCTCCTTTTAAAAACTGTTCAAAAAAATAACAGGCTGAGAAGAAAGCAGACTATTGTGGGAAAGCCATTTAGTACTGAAAAAAAAAAAAGGCTATGAGCAATCCACAAAGCAAATAATCAAAAACTGAAAGTAAATACAAAAAAAAAAGACAGTAAAAGTTCATTGAATTGGCTAAGTTGGATTTCAACATAAAAAGCCTGAATATGCTAAGAGTTCACATTAAAGATGGCCTTATTACTTTAAGTACAGTTAATCCCAAGTTTCAACACATTGTATACCTGGATACCATGTCAAAGTGAACCACCATAAAGGAGACTGTATTTTCCCTGTAAAACAATGCTATAATTGGGGGTATATTCCTAAGTAAAGACTTCCCATTGAATAAGTTCATAGATGAGAAAAAGAATAGATGACAAAAAGCAAAGATATAACACCTATAGCTTTCTACAACTATTTAAAATAACAAAATTATATTTCAAGTCCTCTAAAATACCCATAGATTTTATACTGCTTATAAGAGTTCCATAGTACTACAAATTGTATTAATAGCATATTTTTAAAACTTTAATGTACTATTAATTAATCCTAAAACTTATAGGTTAGCTGTAACAAATTTTTAATTATGCATAGCTTTTGCTTACCTTCTTAGAAATTAAAAACATTTTCAGGGTATGATTTGGATCAACCAGATCTCCCCGAAAAAGTTACTTGGGGATGTTTGAACTGATTTTACCATTTTTTTTCTACTGATATATTTTCCTGTAACAAATATTCCATTGACTTTACAGCCACATGCTCAAAACACATGGTGAATACATATTTGTTGATGTTGATGAGCAAATAGTGTTTCTTCCACTGAAAAGCATTTTTCCAAGGTTGACCCAATATTTCTGCCTTTCACTTCCTTACATCTCTTCAGTTTATTTAGTTACAAAAAAGTACAGCTGTAGCTACCCAATATCAAACCACATAAAGTCAACTAGAAATAACAATAACAATATTATTATAAATTCATATTTATATTTTGTGCTATAAGGTTTATAAAGCAATTTCTTTTAGAAGTGAATGTCACTTTGAGTCTAGACACTGCTCCTATAATTGATAGTTGGAACTTGAGCACATTAAATGCTTATTTACTTGTACTCAAAATTGGTCTCACTACTTCAAGTCTCTTCTCCACCCCAATCCATCCTCCCACACAGCTGCCAAAGTGACTTTCCTTAAGCACAGAGCTGACCATGTCATTATCTTACTCAACCAACTCCAATGAGGTAAGCAGTATTATTATCTCCATTTTACAGATGAATAAACCTAGGCTCCAGATGCAAATAACTTGATTATTATTATATTACTAAGTAATAGCTACAGGGATATGAACCTAGTTTTCCTGCTTTGAAATCCAGCATTCTCTCATTATACTACATTTGTTTATTTGAATTGTCCAGATACAGAGGCTGATACTTTCACAAGTATCAAGACACTTCACACTTATACATTTAACAGATGAGAATTTGTCTTTACTTGAATTACAATATTCAATCAGATGTATTAAAAATAGGTGTGAATAATTCCTAAATACTTCTATTGAACCGAAAGCATACCACCACCCCTTTTACACTATTAATATACCTAACATAACCTCTCATGTAATTTAATATTCACTAAGATTTAACCAACTCAAAGTGAGCTCTCTTCGCTACCAACTTCCAACCCTCACAAGTTCTCAGTATCATCACTCATTTGTTTCTCCTTCCCTCATACCACAAAAGCCTTCATAACCTAGCCCTCTCCTACCCAATACTCCATCTCTCAGCTCCAGGCATTTTCTCTGGCTGTCCCCCATGCCTGGAACACTCTCCTTCCTCCGCTCTGACCACTAACCTCTCTGGCTTCCTTTAAGTTCCCACTAAAACCCCACTTCTACAGGAAGCATTCCTTAATCCTTCTGATTTCCAATACTTGCTTTCTTTTAATTATTTCCTATGTATCCTGTATATGGCTTGCTTTTTATATATTTGTTTGCATGTTGTCTCCCCCATTAGACTGCAAGCACTTTGAGGGCAGCAGGGACTGTCTTCTGCCTCTTTTTGTATCCTCAGCACTCAGCAAGGTATCTGGCACAAAGTAGGCACTTAATGAATATTTAACTGAATTGAATAAAGGAAGGCTATCCTTAATACCATGCAACATATAATCTCTCTAACAGTGCTTTTGATTCAATTTCCTCCTGACTCTAGGACTGCAATCCAACAACAATCTTGCTTCTCTCCTGAATCTTCAGTTTCTCCTTCTTCACTGGCTCCTTAGCTGTCTACAAACATGCTCAGGTTTGCTTCCAAACACACCCCAAGCTCTCCTACCTCCATGCCTTAGTGCCCACTCTTTTTTTATGCTAGAAATTTCCATAGCTCCTCCTTTCTCCTATATGTCTCTAAAAGTCCAATTCAAAACTATCTCCTCCATGGAATCTTCTCTGATTCTCCAATAATAATGATCTGTTCCCCACTTGGATCTCACACTGCATTTCATTTTGTACCTAATATACTCTGTCACATAATATTTTGTAGTTTAGTTATCTCTGCATGTTTCCCATCTCTCATTAGGTGATAAGCTCCAAAAAGGCAGTACCATGCCCTTAAACTTCATATGTATTGCCTTATTCCGTCACTGACCGTCTTTTGCACACAGTAAGTGTTCGATATACATTGGTAGAATTAATTGAATATAGTAATAAGGTAAATTCTGGGCTAGTTTTTCTTTGAATTATCACAAATGCCACCCATTGGAGTCAATCAACAATCATTTGTTTGGCATTCTGCTAGGTTCTAAGGATATAAGACAGAAGTGAAATAATCTCTTTTCTCAAAAAGCTTACATGCTTCAGAGGAATACAGAACTGACACACATAAGTGTGCATATATATGTGTATATATATATATATATATATATATATATATATATATATATATATATATATATATAAAATACAGAGAGAGAGAATACGTATAAAATAAGTACATTTCATCCTTGGATGAACTGGAAAGGAGGGCACTAGCAGCTGGGGAAGTCAGGAATCATGCAGAGCTTGATCTGTGACTTGGGGGAAATGAGAAATTCTCTGTATTCCTCTGAAGCATATAAGGGATGGGTGTGAAAAAGGAGTGCATTCTAGGCATGGCCAATGGCCAATGCAAATGCATGGAGACAGGAGGTGAAGATGTAATGTCATGCATGAGGAACAGTGAGAAGGACAATTTCGGTGGAGCACAGGCTATGGGAAAAAGGAATAACGTTCAAAGAGGTTCAAGAGATAGGATAAGGCCAGATTGTGAAGGGTCTTGAAAAGCCAACCAGAAGAGTATATTTTATCCTACATAAGAGAGGGAGCCACTGGAGTTTATTAAATAGGGAAACAATATGGCAAAATTTTCACTTAAGGAAAGTTACTTTGGCATCTATACGGAAGATGAATTGTAGTGGAAAAGAGTCCTGAAGTAGGGAGAGCAATTCAGAGTCCAAATAAATATTTAATGCACTCAAATTTTAGCTATCAATTATAAGAGCAGTATGTAGGTTCAAACAAAAGGTGTTATTCTCTTTCTAAGAAAATCTCTTAACATCTATAAGTGAAAAGAAAAGATTCTAGCAAACATGGTACCTTCTACTATTCAATGAGAAAGCCAGCTCCAAGTATTCAACCAAATAAGGGCTATTAGGACCGGTTACTCTAATACTAGAAAAGGCAAAATCTCACCCTGATTTTGTGTAGAGTACTAGGAGCCTCTTTTAAAAATATCTATATATCTCTATCTATCTATCTATGCATATCTGTGACCCTACTTTAGATAATAAATTAGAATGGAGCACTTCAGGGTCACTCAAAACACATGCTTAGCCCCCAGCTTTCCATGTTTACTTTACCTTAAATTGAAGGAAGATGTAGCAAAACCTAGTTTAAACAACATTAGGTTAGGAGTCAGGAAGTTTGCCTGGGATCTGGTCTCAGGGTCAAGTCATTAAATGTTTTTCTGAATCCACTTTGCCATCTGTAAAGTAAGAATAATGGTATGCTGTAAGGAGGGGATGAGAGACAATAAAAGTGAAAGGAAAACTGGGGCCCCTTACATTTAAAGTTTTTCAATGCTTTAACGCTATTCACTCCTGAGTCTGTGAATCTTCACACCACACACACACACACACACACACACATTTGACTAGCTATGACTCTGGGCAGGTCATTAAGTGATGTTGCCTCAGTTTCCCCAACTGCAAAATGGGGATTATAATATAACACTTCCCAGGACTGTTGTAAGGATCAAAGATGATAATTTTGGTAAAGTGCTTAGCCAAGGGTCTGGAGCATAATCAGCACTTAATGAATGGCTGTTTCCTTCCTTATCACAAAATAAACACCCACAGACCATTATGATCTGGACTCCTGCATCCTGCACCCTTGGCAGACGCCTGTTTTAGTAGCACTGTTGTTCTGTGGGCAGGAGCAGCTGACATCCAAGAACTCCTCCCCTTCCCCCATTTTTATTTGTATGTTAACATACCTTCTCTTAAAGTACATGAAAGTAAAGCGAAGAGAATTAATGGTCAAGACATTTCTGTTACCAGCTACTTCCAAGAAATGTTAAAACGGTATTTGTAAAGATTAAACTATAATATTCCAACTTACATTGTTACTAGTATTATAATGCCTTTCAAAAGCAAAGCTACCTGCTGGGTTATAAAATTTGGATATGAAGTATTTATAATACTTAATATCAAGACCTTTCAAAAAAACGTTTCTGTTCTTTCTCAAGGAGTCATTTGAAACACTTAAGCTTAAAGCACAGAAAAAAAAAATAAAACAGGTGCAACAATCCCAAATATCATTTAATGCCTAAATGGTAGTAAAAGTTTGCCAACCCATAAAATCCAGTAAAATGGAACATTTCAATACATTGTGTCTTTTAACACTTATGGAAGATTGGCTAGGTAGGGTGGTGAAAAGTAGTCCTGCCTCTGACACGTAACTAACTGTATGATTAAGAGTCACTTACTCGGTTCCAGCCTCTGTTTCCTCATCTGTAAAATGGGCATGACAGAAATATCTACCTCATAGGGTTGTAAAGATCAAATAAGAGACCTTAAAGCATCATGTAAATGTCAGTGATTTTCATTTGTTTCTGTATCAACAATGAGAAACCCTAGTTATGCAAAAGTAAATTGAGAAAAGTCAGTCATCTAACATATTCATTGGGTGCACAAAAACAATTTCCTCATAACTAGAATAACGCCAATTTGTTTTGAAAAAAGAAACTGAATCAATTGGGAGACTAGTATAGCAGTTCCTAACTAATTCATACTAATTACTGGGAGCTTTGCAGCTGATGGAACTGTGATTTAGCAAGTAAACAAACCTTATCAAAAGAAAATTAAAGCTCTTGCTTTCCCAAATGTATTTCCCTCATTTATCTTAATAAGTGTGATTTAATGTTGTTTACTGGTGATCACTCTTCATGTTATATTAAGTTTATTTTGTATAATTAATTAAATCTTAGTAATAGGAAAACTAACTGCCGATGTCAACTTTTTTTTTTAACCTCTTCTGGATCTGAATTGACCCTGATGGCCATAAATCCAAGAGTAAATTCCTAGCCAAGATTTTAAATACAGACAGGGACTAATCTAATTTGCAATTTGCCCAAAGTCAACTCTGTACTAAGAACAATCAAATCAAGAAAGCCCAGATGTCATAGGTCCTAGAATCTCCTAGAAGTAGTCCATCTGATTATAGAAGGATAATCTCAAAACCACAGAACACTTCTGCTCTCCACAACAGAGTCTTTAGAAATAAACCTATCAAGAAAGAAAGCAGCTGGACTAATCCCTATGGAATCACAGACTATTAGATCTAGAAAGAATCTCGAGTCACCTATTGCAACTCCCTCATTTTACCAACGAGGAAAATGGGACTCCAATGAGTTGAAGTGACTTTCCCCAGATCACAGAATGAGAGAAGGGAAGAACTGACATTTGACTCCAAGGCTTCCAACTCAAAACCCAACATTCTTAGACCATGTAATACTTATTTACTTTGCACATAAGAAAACTGAAGCCCAGAGAGCTTTAATTAAATTATCTAATGGCACATAGGAGCAGAACGAGGACTAGAACCTAGGACTCCTGACTCCCAAGCTGGTGTTCTTTTCACTATATCATACTATCCTTCAAGTAGCAGACACATCCATTACACACCCAGCTCAAAGTAATGACTACCATCTCTATTTCTGACACTGATGCTGCCTCCAAGTTCTGTCCCAGACTCATCAGAGTCATCTCTGAGATAACATTTACATAAAAAAACACCATAACTAACAAAACATTTCTCAATCATCCTATCTGTTCTTACTGAGCTCCTACCTTGTGATTCTGTATAAATGGGGGAGAAGGGAGGAGGACGATATGATCCAATGAAAAGTTAAAATAATGTTTAAAAAAATAAGAGTAGTATTTTATAGAGTGCTTTAAAGTTTTCAAGATGCTTCACAAATATTACCTCATTTGATCCTCACAACAATCCTGGAAGGCAGTGCTATTATGAGCCCCATTTTACAAAAGAGGAAATTGAGGCAGACAGAGGTTAAGTGTAAGAGTTACACAGCCAGTAACTGGCTGAGACCATATTTGTACTCAGATATTCCTGACTCCAGTCCAGCATTTAATCTACTACCTACTACTTAATTGCCTCTACATCTGTATCTCATAAAACATATATATGTATATATAATAACTGTTATAGAAAATATACTTATATCTCTATAATTTATAACAGATAATACAACAATATAATAGGCATCACAAGGGTATTTCATTAATTGCCAAAAGCACGGTACATACAGAAGAAAGGACTCTAGACTTAGAAGTAGATGAAACCTGGGCTCAACTCTTCCCTCTGCAAATAAATTTAATGTAAATAAATTATACTTATTACTTGTTTGACCATAAGAAAGTCACAACCTATCTGACTCTCAGTTTCCTCAACAATAAAATGGGGGTAATTACAGTTGTAGGAGTTCACAAGGTTATTATGAAGAACAAACAAGATGATGCAGAGCTTTTGCAAACCTTAAAGCACTCTGCATCTTAGGAGTTTGGGGGAGAGGGGACCACTGAGCTACCGTGGGCCTAGAAAGTTTCATGGAGATTTTCTGTACTTAAGTAAACAAACAAACAAAACAAAACCATGTAGAAATATGTAATAAAGGAGATGTGCCTAGATATCAGAGTTCATGTTTTATTTGACCAAATCTTCCATTTAAATCAGTACTATGAGCTGGCAGCCAAGAGTTAATGTGATCTGAGATGGTATCTAGAAATCTAGTGTACTGAACAAGGGAAGCAATAATCCCACTATATTCCATGCTAGTCTTAGAACCTCTCAAGAAATACTAGAACTTATCAAGATAAGCAGGGTGGAAAGGATACCAAAAACTTTATCATCCAAAGCATAGCTGATTCAATCAATAAACATTTATTAAGTACCAAGTGTGTGCCAGGTACTGTGGTAAGCTCTGGGGATACAAAAAAAAAAAAAAAGAGGCAAAAGACAGTCTCTACATTCAAGGAGCTTACAATTTAACAGAGGAGATAACATGCAGACAAATATATGGAAACAATTTATACAGGATAAGTAGGGAATAATTAACTGAGGAAAAGGCATCAGAATTAAGAGGCATTGGGGAAGGCTTTCAGTAAAAGACAGGATTTTATTTTGGGACTTAGAGTAAGCCAGGAAGATCAGATGTTAGTGGAGGGAGAGCAAGAACTCCAAGCACTGTGGGACAGCCAGAGAAAACTCTTGGAGCCAACAGATGGAGTGTGTATTGTTTATGGAATAACCAAAAGGCCAGTGTCAATGGATTGAAGAGTACATGCTGGAGAGTAAGGTATAAGGACGCTGGAAAGGTAAAAGGGAGCTAGGTTATTAAGGACTTTAAATGCCAAACGGAACATTTTGTATTTAATGCTGGAGGCAAAAGAAAGTCACTGGAGTTTATTGGGGGCGGGGGGAGTAGAGGGTAGGGATGTCAGTGTGACATGATGAAGTCTGTGCTTCAGGAAAATCCTTTTAGTGGCTGAATGGTGGACTTGAGTGGGGAGAAAGTTCAGTGACAGACCCACCATCAGGCTTTTGGAATAATCTAGGCACGAGGTGATGAAGGTCTGCACTAGAGTGGTGGGCAGTGTTAGAGAAGAGAAGGGACCACATACAAGAGATGTTGCAAAAGTGTAATTGACAAGTCTTGACAGTAGCTTGGATAATTGGGAAGTGAGAAATCATGAAGAGTCCAAGATGACTCCTATATTGTGAGCCTGAAGAATTGGGAGATTGGTGTTGTCCTCTAAGGTAATAGGGAAGGTTGGGTAGGGGGGATTAGGGAAATGAGGTTTAGGAGGAAAGATGAGTTCAGATTTGGATATGTTTAGTTTAAACTGTCTACTGGACATCCAGCTCAAGATGTCTGAAAGGCAATTGGAGATGTGAACTAAAGGAACTGGACTGGCCTAGGCCTAAGTGTAAAAAAACCTGGAAGTGACCTGGTAGCTATCTTGAATTAAGTTCAACAAATATTAAATGTCTACTATGTATGTGTAAGGGATTGCTCAAGGCTGGAGAAACAATGACAAAAAATGAAAATAAAATACAAGATAATTTTGGGAGGAAGAGAAAACTAGCAACTAAGAAAATGAGGACACACTTCTTGCACTATGCAGCATCTCTAAACCAAGAAGAAAGATCAGTATTATTATTAGATTTAAACCAATACTTCACATCTAGATATGTGACCTAGATATAAAAGGTCATATCATAAACAAATTTAGAGAAACATAGAAAAATTGTCTATATATCTATGAATAGGAAGAAAGTTCATGACAAAACAATGAATAAAGAGGATCACAGATGACAAAATGGATCATTTAGATTATATACAATGAAAATTTTTATTCAAACAAATCTAATAAAGCTATGATTAAAAGGGAAAAGAGGACAAGA